AGAGTGTCTTAATACAGGAGGACGTAGACCATGCCTCTACAACATCAGGCTTTTGAGGTTTTTCTGTGTGCAGAACTGACTAATGAGACACTGACAGACAGTTTAAGAACGTGAGGATTACAAATGTGTGTGCCCTGCAGGGACTGAAGCTTCCAAGGCAGGAGCAGAACAGGAGTAAGATGCCAGTTACTGGAGCACTGGCTGTCTGCCTACAAGTGCTCTTACAACATGGCTGGGATCTGGGAGTGGGGAGAGAAACTGCAAAAGACCATATAGCAACTGTTTGTGAAACAGGGCATAGGGAGGAATTTCAAGTGGAAGTTGCTGCCATGTTCAGAGAAATATCTGGGAGTTTCTCGGAAAGTTCTGCTTTTCTTAGTTTGTGTTTAGTTTTATAGTTACAAGTTGCTTTGTTCTTTTCTGCCATCCTGCGTTTGTTTGGCTGCTATACCCACTGTCGAGGAATCCTTGCTGTAAACAAGATAAACCTATTAAAGCTGCTTGACCCTGGATCCTTGTCAACACCAAGGTATCATGATACTTTCCAAGTGGGGTCTGTGTGTCACTGTATGTGTGGAATGAAGTTATATCAGAGTGGATTAGGGACTTCTGGTGTTGCTTCTGTTCTGGACCATCAGCATCCTGGATATTTATCTTCAGGAGACTTAGTTAATGCTACAGAGGCCTTTAGGAACATGTTTCTGGTGGGTCATATAAAACTCATAGCTGTTTATTTATCTCTGGCTGGGAGGGGAGAAGTGTGGGCTTTTAGTGTTGTTTCCTCTGGCCTATTTCACTCCTACCTTCAGAGCAGTTAATTTGAAAGCTCAGAGTCCTGGGGTTGCACAGCAGGTCTCCAGTAATTCAAGTTCTAGGTGTTCTGACACTTCTTGAAATGAGCCAAAAGAGCCAGTACTATCAGCAGTGTGCTGAGCCATGTGTTATGCTGCAGCTCAGCTTTACTTATCTTTAGCACAGGCAAAGGACCATAACTGTAATGCTCTGCATTATCTTAAAGCTAGTACTTCTTCCATTCTGTCACTGGTTTTGCTTTCCCTAACAAAAATAAGCTTTGAATGTCTCTGGAGAACAACCTTCAGGTTTCATTGTAAACACTTTCTTGGGCATAATTGACTTAAGATGCAAAGAGAAGATAAAGGCTTTATCATTTGAGTGTTTAGGTGCAACTGTCACTTTTCTCTCAACTGAGGAAATTATTCATTTTTAATATGTAAGCTGAAAAATCTGAACATAGTCGCAAGCTACAGTAAGTTTGTTTTTGAGTGCAAGTCTTAGTGAAATCCAAGGCAAGTTTGTTTTTTTCCAGTTATATTATTTTAGCCTTCCACTCCTTTGTCTTTTCCCAACAAGCTAGTCATATTGCAAATGTTATTACCAGTAGCCCAAAGCAGAAATGAATCTTGCTGTGATGTAGAAATGCTATGTCCTTAAGCTAGCATCATTTTAACCTTCAGGCTTTCCCGCTTTGCATTTACTTAGCAAATAAACTTAAATGTTGTCTTTGACAGTTTGTGCTTCGGTGGTGGTTGTTTCCTCTGTGGCATTTAGTAAGCTAGACTCTGGTTTTGGAATAGCTGGAGGAGAGGTACAGTGGTGAGAGACCTGAGCGCTCTATGGGTACAGGATCCTTGTTCAGTTTTCTGTCACTGAAGTAGCAGTGAAACAAAGAGAGTCAGCAAGTTTGGTCTGAGGCAGATGACAAGACTGGCAGGTCAGTCACGA